AAGAACATAGTCTAAGTCAAGCACCTAGAAGCTGAGAAATGTCAGGTTTAAGACAGTCTGTGCAACTTTAGTTCTGCCTTGCATTTAAGCATTCTGATACTTGTTAATTTACAGAACCAAATGCTAATTTTTCCAGCCTGATTAATTTGACAAATTCAGAAGAGAAATGTTATTTACAATGAAAGCATGTGTGATGGACTATTGGGGTTATTGCTGTTTTTAGCTGTGTTCATGTTGAAATAATGTTGCACGTGCCAGTTTCCCCAGCTAACTTATGCAGTGGGAAAAGAATGGATTAAAGAGAGTGAGTTGCTAGCTACTGATGGCTGGAAAAAGAAATTAAAAAATTTGATTTGGGGGATTGGCTTGTAGGTAAATTAGATAAATAGTAGAACAATGGTCCAGGGTAACAGCAAAGGTTAATTGGTTTTTTAAAGCCTATTTTTGACAAAGTTTCCTTCAGAGCCCACTGTGTCTGAAGCTAACAGACAAACAGGCTAGGAAATTAAAAACATGAACAGTGTACCCATAACAGAGATAAGGTGCCATTAGGTCACAGTGACCAGCTGCAGAGCCTTTGGGATTTTTGGTTTTGGTGGATGGAGCAAATTAGGAGGCTGGGGCATGACCAAATTAAGATGTGTGCCTGGGATGTGTTTGGGAAACAAAAAAAATATGCTGACAGGACAAAATGTGGGCAGTATGACAGCACAGGGAAACCAATCAAAACTGCCCGGGACTAAACAGTCATCAGAAGGAAAAAAAAAATACAAAAGGAGGGATTCAGAGCAGTAAAGAGTACCCAAAAAGGGAACCCAAGGCCACGATGAGCAGAGGGCCACCACCAGCCTCTCTCACCCACCCCAGTGGGGTGGGTGAGGGCTTGGCCCTCGACCTCCAGGATGTTAACATCTAACATTAAAAAAACCCCGACACAGAGTAAAGCTCACATACTGGTCAGATGTCCCTTCCCTCTGTAAACCCGCTAGTAGATATAAAATTCGGGGGGGTGGGAAGGGGAGGAGAAGAAGGTGTATTTTATTTGCCTTGCCTGCATTATTCTTATCTGCTATCACCATGTATCAATAAATTTTGCCTACTATCAAACAAAAAAAGTCATGGTCGGTCTGAGTGTTTGTTCTGGTGCACCCAGAATAAGGTATCTGGGTCAAAAATCCAGTACCAACAGCTACCCGACAGATGGCAGGGTAGATTTGCACCTTGTAGATTTATAGAGACACATACATCTCTGATTAGTTAAGTCTATAAGGCATAAATCTACCCTGCCCTCAGGCACTCATGGGGCATGTCTACACATTCATTAATATTCTTTTACTAGTGCGCATTAAATTTAGTACCTCTTCTGTGAAGTACTAGAAAAAGGAGCACTAGTCTATTTTAAGGTGCATTAGCAAAAGCTCACAGGGCATTATACATGTACTATGGGAGTGGGGTGGTGGGCACCTTAATTAGAGTGGCTCCAAGAGCACCGGAGCATCTCATGTATCAGCGCCCGTGCTTAAAAGCTCATCGAATTAGCTTTAGTTAAAGTGCCCCCACCACCATTTTTAAGTGTGGGGACACTAGAATCTGCTGGAGCATGGTAATTACAGCAAGTCAGAGCAACCTCGCTGCTTGTGTATAGGCACCCAGGGTTTTTCTGTGACACTTTACTGTGCATTAAAGTAGGCTAATGCACATTAAAGCGCATGTGTAAACATGCCCATGGCTAACTACCTTTCTCTACTTGACAGGAGACAAGTTCTACAAAAGACTTGAATAGCTCTAGCTCTGTTGACTTCAACAAAAAGTTACAGATAACACCCAGAAGGGGTCCAGAGGAGACTCAGATAAATATGACAATGGGAGATGTGGCTGAATAATCAAGTTGGCAGCTCTTGGTGGGACAGTTGGGAGTCAGAAAGCAGAAGAGGGGCTTTGGGATTGAGGGTGTAACAGACTGGAAAGAAAACATTAGAAAATCTTTGGGGGTACTCTGGGTTGGGGGCTGCTTAACTCTTTGGAGGCGGGGACACAGAACATCTAGCTGGGTGATCTTTGCCTCAATAAATGCCTCTATTGAAGCCGAGCTATTGGTTTGCTGCTTGAAACTTTAAATTTCATGTGGTCTCCCTAATCAGAAGTCGGGCTCTTCTCTCAGGACTGGAACTCTTGATTTTTGAGTTGGGGCCACAGAAAACCAGGGTGGATGAGGGACTCAAAGGCTAGGGTCTCAAGTGGGAAAGTGCCTAGGCCCCCACCCTGCTCTAGAAGCCACACCTCAGCTGACTTTGGGAGGGCACTCTCTGAGACCAGACAAGGCTGTGATCATCTCAAAGAAGCACCCCCCTGGAGGACTTCATGATGGCATGAACCATATATCCTGTAAGAACTCCCTTCTTTACAAGATCTCTGAACAATATTTATAATATTCTTCTGTAATAACTCAAGCTGGCAATATAAAAACGTACATATTACCATTACATCATGCCTGTGATTAACAAATCAGCTTTTTCATCACAGGAATGACATCCCTGTCAGAAAATACTGCCAGAAGCACAAGCCTTAATATCCAACTCTGCAATCAAGTTAATAGGTCTCTGTGCAGACAGGATCATGACTCAAGTTACTCAGTCCTATTTTACTAGCAAGAAAAGCACCATTTAAAATGCATAGAAGTATGTTTCCTATATGTTATCAATATTTTCTAATGATGGAAAATGTGATAAAAGCTGTTTCATTCTGCAGATCTGACAGTTTTTACAGCCTGACTGCGAATGTCATATCCTGGAAACCCAACAGTGGGCTAACGCAATTGGAGCAAAAGCCTAAAACTGGAGCTGTCTGCATACACTGCAGCTGTAGGTGTAAGGGTCGGACAGCCCAGATCAGCTTGCAGGCTCAAGGTCTTAACACAAATCTTGACAGTAGTTCATATTTAGCAAGACTAAGGTTTTACTATACTTGTGTGACAGACCAAAATGATACTGATGGAAATACCTTGAAGGTGTAATATTAATGTTGAATATTCCCTTGGAGGGGGCTCCCCCATCCTCTGGCCACGTTTCATGATTTGCATTCAGGGGGCTCACCCATCCTCTGGCCACGTTTCATGATTTGCATGATGCTTTTAAACAGGAGTGGCCAACCTGCACCACAAATACCACAGCCAGTATTTACACATGGCAGAACAGGGAGAAGACAGGCAGCACAGTGGCAGGGCAGGGAGCAGAAAGTAGAGCAGCAAATAGGGCAGGGGAAGAGGAGTGGGGATGGCACTCAGGGAGAGTGTAGGGCTATTAGGTTGGAGTAAAGTAATAAACTCCATAGGTATAGCTGACAAATTGTAGAGCTGCATTTTGGGTTTCAAAATTAACTAGCTGCAGCAGTATCCCTTTCTGTGGGCTCATCTGCATGTGCATATTAATGTGATGCAATACATTCTGGTGCATATCATACCGGTGTTTATTGCTCCCAGGCTCTGCATCTACATACCTGGGATTGCAGCATGTTGACCTGGGTTAGAGCAACCCTGACTGGTGGGGTGCTCCAGTGCAGGGCTAGCTGGGACAGCGTCTACATGTACGGTGCTGTGGAATAAAAAATTCCACAGCAAAGTACTACAAGTACTACTCTGCTGTGGAGTTTTTTTTCCACAGCCCCGCACATATAGATGCTGTTTATTAGTTTACTCCAGCCTAATAGCCCTACACTCTCCAATTTTCACCTGTTTGTGTTAACAAAGTTTTCAGCAAATAATTTTGTAATTCTGCCGTACATATTTTCCATATAATTAGTAATTTTGTCTGGAAAATAGACTCATCCATTTACATACCCTCTCTCATAAACCCAGAAACGCCAGTTAAACATGGGCACTGTACTAAGACTAAAGATTACCATAAGCAAAACCCTTTTATCTGACCGTTTCAGTATAACATTTTCTCATATCTGAATCTTGATTACATCCAAAAGTATAAATGTTAATCTCAATACTTAAATTATTCCAACCCTCTCCTCTTCCTTGAGGTGGTTTCACATTCACCAAACATTTTGGAGGTGTAATTCGACAGAATAGATGGATGGAAAATTGCGCTTGTGCACTTGCAGCTGGAATAAATCAGTAGTTTAAGAATATGAACGGTAAGCTCACCTATTAACCTGTCTCATACTAATAATTTGTAAAAGATGGAAAAATCCTGCCCTGCATATTCACTTAATTATACTTGTAACAAACACTGGAATATAGGAGCTTTCAATGAAGTCAGCTAGAAATAAAAAATTACATAAAACAAAATTTAACTTCAAAGCACATTTGTTTATGCATTGCTTTGTATACTATCCAGTAACTAGTATCTGTATGTGCTAGAAATAGTTTCATGTCAGGCAGCTCACTGGCATGGTGAGTGGTAATTAGAGGTCTGTTAGCAGGCAGCTGTACAGTACTGGTTGCAACAGCAGGTCTTCAGCTTCCATCTTCTGTTTACTTCAGTAACAAAGCCAGCTGGGGCCCAGTTTGAAAAGATAAAGTAAGGCTGGTGGTGAAAAAGGCGGAAATGTAGCTGCTACTAGAAATCATAGTTAATAATTGCTGTTGCTTTGTAATCCAGCAGGAAGATTTTTTCTACTCCAGAGAGTATTAACATGATTAAAATTATGGGTTATGCACCAAAAATTAATAAGGTCATTCTGGTTTCTTAAAGGGCTTCGTTTCATGTTTGAGAAAGCAAAAGCTAAACAGTCTAGAAATCATATGGGGAACTTTAGGTCTGAGCCGCTTTTCTACATATCAGGAGGTAGTGTATTAACCACCCAAAAGCACCAGAAATGGGACCTGTTAGTGTAGCAGAAAGAGGATAGGACAGCTTATTTTTTTACCATCCTCAGAATTCAGCCCTTTTGCTTGCAGATGCTCTTCATGAATTTATCATTATCTCCTACTACAGCTATAGAAACACTTGGATCTCCCTGCCGCTATTGTACTTCTGGCCTGTCTTGACCCGATGCGAGCAGTTACAGACCACACTGTGGTAAAAACCACAAACGTTATTCAGTGTACGTTCATACTCCTGCTAGAGCTACACAGGTACTGCTGCTATTGTACTCCAGTAATTAGAAAAAAATCCCACATCCTTACATCCATGTCTTGTGTTAGCTTTTCCTGAACAACAGTGAAGTATAACTAACACTCGGAAAACCGTTTCGTTTCTAATCTTTACCTCCTAACGTCTAACTTAGTTTCTAATGTAGCCTTCCATCCTGCTGGAAGGCACACCTGCCCCAAGAACGCAAGGAGGATCATTCTCCAACACTTGTTGTGCTGGCTTGGCCTAACGCACCTGCTGCAAGAAACACAGGGCTGCATTTGCTCAGCCGTAAGGTGCCGCAAAGCCGCCTTCTTGGCCACTGAAAGCAGGTGTGTTAGGAAGAGAAAGAGACTTTAGCTCCCACTACAAGCTCGGCAGGCAGAACTCGGTGAGAAGTGCGGCAAGAGCAACCCACGCTGCCAAGCTCCCCATGGAAAGTCCCACACAGGTCACGATGGCCATACTACTGCCAAGAGCGAGGCGAGAGAGTGACTGGAGGGCGCTTGCCCAGAGAAGGCCACCAGGGAAGAGTGCAGTGGCCAAGCTGAATGACACCCCAGCAAACACTGAACTCCCCGGTTAATCTAAGGTGTCTAGCACTGGAAAAAGAGGCGGCAGCAGCTTGTGGGGAGAGCAGAGAAGAGCCCCCAGGCTCGGAGGCAGGAAGGTTTTCCCCGGCGCAGCCCGGCTTCCTAGTCGGTGGGGGGACGAACGGGAGCACCGCCACAGCCCGCTTCAAAACACCAGCAATTTATTAGACCGGCTGCGCGGGGGTAAAAAGCAGGAGCCGAGGCCAGGTCCGGCACCGAGGGGCGGCGGCGGATACTTGCAGAGCGCGTCGAGCCGGGCAAGCCAGGC